GACACGTTAATCTCCTCTCTGCCCCTCTTCCCCTCTCCCCCTTCCTCCACACACACACATCTTGTACGTGCCGTGCTATTAACTTTTAATATATATCCAAGTTTTTTAAATATATATCCGAGTTTTTTTGATTTTTTCGAAAACTTTTCTATTTCCGCTAAAATAAGAATCAAAATTATAAGGTTTTTGTCACGTCACATTGTAACTAACCATCGACCCCATTTCATATTTTTTACAACTATCGAAACTTTTCCCCATAAGACAGTCACGCATTATTTGAATAGTCCTTAAATAGTTTTTTTTGCCAAATAAAATAAATGTTATGTAATCAAGGCATTAATATCATTTAAAAAAGGGTTATAAAAGCAATTATTACTCGCATTGAGGAAAATCAGTAAACAATTGTTTTTTTTTTGTGATTTTTTAAAACTTTGTTTTCCAAAGCCTTGCGCTGAAGATCCGATATATTATAATAATCCGTTGTACATGTTTATATTTAATTAATATGCTTGTGCGCTTTGTATTAGTATTTAAAAGTAATCAGATAAAAACATGACTTTCAGCTGCAATGTTAGTTGCAATGTTTTTCTTTGTTTTTATATCAAAGGACCTTTATCAAAGGACGATTTTTTTTTAAAATATTTATTTCAGGTGCCCCAAGAACCACGGAACCCTTGCGTCTGAGGCAAGCGCGCTACCACTTCGCCTTGGCTGCTCGAACTTAATAGTTTTAAAATCTATAAAGTATCAGTTGATGTCTCTTTTTAAAATAAAATTTTCCAAAATAAATATTTCTAAAATATGATGATAGCATCCGAGTCCAGAAATAGTTTCCATAAATTTTCATTGAAAGCATTTTCATGGATTGAATGTCAGATTTTTAACTAAAACTGAATTTTAAGAAATCATTTTTCCTATTTATTTGTCTAGTTACAACTCCACTTTTGAGAGGTGCAAAAAGACATCTTAAAAAAAAAATTATTTAATTATGAAAGGTGTTGATTTTTAGGAATGAAATGAAGAAAAATATACAAAAAATATGTTTAATAACAACTTTCAGTTAATCGTTTAAAATACCATTTTCTATATTCGGTAGTTAGGGGCGCCGAGAGCCTTCATGCTGCTTGGGACGGACAACCCCGATTGGAGACCATACTTTTTAAAATACTTCTATACCATCATTAGTGGACCATTTTTTTTACGTACCTTATTTTTTTCTTGGTGTCTCTTAGACATCTGCTACTCGGGAAAACTGTCCCTTTCGGCACCTCTATCATCATTATCAGAATATAAAATTAAAGTGTGCTTATGAAAAAAATTGAATACAAAAAATTATATAAAAAAAAGCCTCCATTCCCACATCCAATCTATTGAAGATTTTCCTCCTCCCACAATCTTTACAAATTTGAACAAATTTATATGGTAAAGTTTCCTATACATTATTTATACTATCTTGAAATATTCTCACCAGATCTCAAGTTGTAAAATAGTGTTTTTATTTTAATCTTGTAGTATTTATGTTAAATAAATATTTAAAAAAGAAGACATATAGGTTAAAAAATAAGAATTTAAAAAATAAATGTAAGCATAGACGATTAAAAACATAGTACACTGGTGTTGTTTACATTATTGTATGCTTTCCGGTTTTTTTTTACATTTTACATTTGTTTACGTATAAAACAATGGAAATACGCCATTAGTAAGTATTATACCAAACAAATTAAAAAACGGAACAGATGTAATGGAAGTTTTGTGTTTTGGATTTATTTAAATAACACAAACTAAAAATAAAATTCGGCAGAACTTAGAGATGAGCTACATAAACACCTTCATAACAACAAATGATTTTTATATTAAAAGGATTAGTATTTTATGCAGCCACTAGCAAAAGTGGTTGCTTAAAAAATTATGTGGGACTGTGACCTGCTTTAATATATATATATATATATATATATATATATATATATATATATATATATATATATATATATATATATATATATATATATATATATATATATATATATATATATACATATATATATATATATATATATATATATATATATATATATATATATATATATATATATATATATATATATATATATATATATATATATATATATATATATATATATATATATATATATATATATTATATTAAATTAGCATTGTAATGTGAATTAATAATTATATAATATAAAATCCTTTAAAACTACTATAAATTTAAGTTATTGTATTTTAAATTATTTTTAAGTTAAGCAACAAAAATTTACTGAAACATAAATTGTAAAAAATTAAAGAAAAATGTTTATTTTAGATTGAGTTTTGTAATAAAACTTCAAATTTTTTTTTCAAAACTCCTTACTTAAAATTTTTCCTACTATTCAAAAACTGCTAATAATTTAGTCTTGAAGCAAATAAATACCCTTGAAAAAAAGTAGGATTGAAAAGATAATGAAAAAATTGTTTTGAAATCTTATTGCAGTTTATTATACAAACTTTTAATGCTTTTTACAAGAAAAAACTTTTCCAATATTTAATAAGATTTATCAATATGATGTTTTTATTGCAAATCAGAAAATATAAAGACTTAGTAAATTTTCAAGAAACATCTTTTGTTTTGTGAAAAATGTAAAATAAAGATCCACTATATGGAGTTTGTGACATTTTTTTGTAAGATCTTATTAAGAATTTTAAATCCACATTTAAATGTGATTTTTGTTTGGAACTAAAATAATACTTTTAAAAAAAATTAAAACAAAAAAATGTAACAGACAACCCAGAAAATAGTTCTATAGAATTTTCTATAAACTTTTAAAACATATGGCCATAGAAATTGCTATTAAACTTTTTTTCTATAAAAAAAAGTAGAAAAAAAATTTCAATAGCAATTTTTATAAAAGTTAACAGAAACTCTATAAAAATTCTTTAGAATTTCTATAGGCCATATGTTTTAAAAGTTTATATAAAATTCTATAGAACTTTTTTTCCTTGGAAGAAAAGGAGCTGATTTTCAAAATAAAGATTCTAAGAAATTGTTTTAAAAAATTAGCAAGCAAATACCATCAACTCAATCATAGTGTAAATCCGTTTTGAGGATATGTCTTCTGAAAAAAGTTGTAACCCATTAGCAAGAGCTCCAAGATGGTGTTAAAACGTTTGCTTAAAAGGTCCGGAGTTATACAAACACTTAAGTCAGAGTTTGTGTATATTCTTTGTAAAAATACTTTTTTGAAGCAAATAAATTTTATCAATCCAGGATGTGGTATTATACTGATGTTGTTTTAAGAATAACTTTAAATAGAAATATTAAAAATAAATGAGACCACGAGAAATTTTTTCTTTTGTGTTTGATAAGATAAAAATCAAGAGTTTTCTCGTAGTTAATACAACTAAAAAAGTTGACCTATTTGAAATTAGAATTTCAAATGGCACTTTTGATGAGTTTAAAAAAAAAATTCAAAGTTTGACGAAGTATATAACTGTTTATTAGAGGCATGTTTCCATCCTTCTGATATGCATTTGGACCTTTCGCTTCTAGTAAGTTTAACAAGATTTCAAAAAAAAAAACATTTTTCAAATTAAAACTTAACTATAAGGTAGCAGATAATGTTTATACAAGTTTTTAATTAAGAATTACTAAAATGTCAAGAATAGTAGTGTTTATTGGGGATACAATTTTTGATGTTTAGGTTAATAATTTAATTTTTTTTTTTATTTGAGATTTTTTTAACTTTATTTATTTTTTGGCTGTTTATCAATAACATTTGGTAGCTGGTAGCTGTGGAAATAATAGTTTGAATATTTCCATCTATTATTGTTTTATTTACAATATGTTGTAAACAATTTTATTAATAGCACCGTCCTCCTATTTAACAGATTCATTGGATAGTGTTATAGTTTTAGTAGAACCCATTTCTCATACTCTGCAAGAGCTGCTTCTTTTGATTTTTTTCTTTTTTTAAATCTGAGAAGCCTAGTAACTAGTTGCCGATGGTTTCGGGTTTCTCCAAACAACCTGCTTTTCCTCATTTTTAAAACAATACAGTTCGAGAAGAAAAAAACGATTTATAAATAGCAATTCGTCAGTATTTAGTTCTCTCGTATCATCTGACTGTTTATAAACAGATTGCCCGGTTTCACCATCAAAGCTTTGCATATAAAAATTCATCTAGTACAATCTTTAAACACAGGCAAGTTTAACACAGCTCTATAAGCTGAACATAATTTCAAAAAAAAAAATCTTGAAATGTTGCCTCTGCAGAGTAGTCTATGACCTGAATGTTTTCAGGGTAGCATTGATTTTTGCCTCTTTTACTATATGGTATGATGGGTAAAGAAAGTTAATTTTAAGAGCATTAATTTTTAAATGCTGATAAGTTTCTTTGGATAAATTAATTTATATAAATTATATAAAGAATTAAATGTTTTTTCCAATCAAATATAACTTCGTCTAGCCAAATTTTTTTTTTTTTTACTTATTCTGTTTGATTTTTTCCACTTTTTTTTGGCTTGATAAATGAATTTCGAAATAGTTGACAAGCTTTATTAGATTCGTTAAAACAGCTTTCGAAAGCAAAACTTAAAACTTTTGCATGTATATCATCATTTTGCAGCAAATTATTTTCCATTATTAAATTCATAAAACATCTTCTATCCATTTTCAAATGACCATGTATCAATTTAATATTATTTATTTGTTTTTTTATAAAATAAATTAAAATTTTTTTCAAAAACTAGTTAAAGCTTTTTACGGTTTTTTTACAAGTCCTAACTAAGTAATTCACTGCCTTTCCGTTATTTCTTATTCGTTGTTGTCGCGTTTTTTATCAAGTACGTATAACTTCATTGTTTTTGGAAATTTAAAAATAAATAATGAATAAAATAGTATTGGTAACACCTTACACGTTGATTCGGAAGAGAAAGAAAAAGAAAAGGAAAAGCAAAGGTTAAGAAGCACACAAAAGCATCGTGTTGCAAAACCATCCAAAAAACTTCATATGGTTTTTCAATACTTTGACCCATGGTGGGGCGTTTGTTTCAAAAGCCTACATAAAATAGGATTGTTTTTTTTAAATAGGAAATCTATACAATTTTTATCCTAGGTTAATTTTACCAAATAGTTTTTGATGGGGCTTTAATTGGGTGAACTGCTCAACCACACGACAAGAATATCACATCACATTTTTTTGGAACCATGAAATTGCAGATATTTCCAGATGAGAAGAAGTCTTTAAAATACTTGTTGGATATAAAATATCAAACATTTTAATTCGGAAACAGTATTACACATTGTTGTTTAAAATTTTTAAATAGCTTACAGAGTCTAATTTGTATTTTATTTTACACGTTCAGAACCATTGGATTCATCTCGCTTACTACAAAGCGTATATTGTAGTAGAACGGCGTACTATTAAAACACAGGATGGTTTTAATAGTACGCCGCTTACGTTGTGTTTAGGCGGCGATCTAGTTGCAACTAAATGTGATCAATTCAAATCGCGGGATTGTCATAATAATTGTTTAACAACAAGAAATTTTCAGTTTTCCTTAAATTGAAGTTTTAAACACAACAAGAAGCAACTGTAACTTTTTATTCATTCGTATTTAATTTAAAAACCAAAACTTTTAACTTTAAAATTCAGTGTTTGCAAAATTACCATCCAAGATATTACCCTTCAGTAATATGCTATTGTAACCTCGTTTTTCTCCTATTGTAACCTCGTTTTATTGCTTTTATTTTAAGGAAAGAAAGTTTAATCAAAAATTACAACTTCTTTTAATTTTTTTTAATCAAAACAAATGAAAATTGTTTTAGTAAATGTATTAAAATACTAAAACATACCTAGATTAAAGTAAAAGTGGATAGAATGAAATTAAGGATAGAATAAAATAGTTATATATATTATAAGTGTGGCGTATCTCCCTCTCAATATATCATTCTAACTCTCACTCTCACTATATAACTCTCAGAAGTGAAATTTGCTGGCATTGAACTTAAAATCCTCGTAAAACTTTATACGCCAGTCAACAATTTTCTTTTAAAACTAAAATTGATGTTGCCGATAAAAAGTTATGAGTTATGAGAAGAACTATGGGGTTAACTAAAATACACCAGCTATTCGCTTGGTATATAGATCTTTTATTAAATAATTATGTGTAAACTGACCAAAGTATTTGTATAAATTCTTTGTAAAACTTTTAAATCGACTATTATCGAAACTATTGCAATATAAAATATGCATAAAAAAAAAGTAAAAAAAAAAAATCAACTCAGCATTTGCCTTCTGATTCTACATCCACAATATCTAGCATCAGCATACGTCGTATAGCACCAGCTCCAAAGTCAACGCCACCGTCTTAACTTCCAGATTCTTTTAAAGACTCAGCATCATCATAAAAATTAAAATGTTTTTTTATTAATTAGTTGTTTTTTTAATTGCTATTATTGGTTGTTTTTTTAGTTGTTACCATTGGTTGCTTTTAAATTGATAGCATTGGTTGCATTTTTTAATAAGGCATTTTTTTCTCTATTTTTATCAATTTGCATATTTTGTTCTCCCCAAATATGAAGGTAAAAAGAAACATTTTTTTTTCAAATTAAATAAAGTTTCTTAAAAAATAAAAAATAAAAATTATTTGACTTTTATATTTTTAAATACCCCTTAAAATTCTCTACAGTTTAACAAAAAAGATCTTTTTTCCGTAAAAAAAGAAAAAGAAATTAAAACTTGACTATTTCATTTACTCGCTTTCACTCTATATTATTTATTATTGTGAAAAATAAAAATAATAAAAAAAAAAAATAGTTTTGTAGTTCTTAGAACAAAAAAAAAGCCTTCCTTCCACTTGGCATTTATTTACAAAGCGACTTCTAAAAAAGTTTTCATTCCTCCTATTATCAAAACCCTACCTCGCCTCAGCTTAGCAAGCATATATTAGCAAGCAAAACATATTTATTATTTATTATATAAACTTTTATTTTGTTGATTAAACAGTTACAATTACAATTTTCATACATTCAACATTCAACAACATTTTAACATTCCGCGTGTCATTTATTTTTCGGCTTTAAAACGTAATTTAAAAAATATCTGCATAATGGAGTATTCTAAACCACTAAAATCTTTGAGTTCTAAAAGTATTATGGATAAAGAAAAAAGTTAATCCGGGACTCAGAACGCCGGACTCCGACTTCTCAATTCTGCTATTAACATAACACGTTAATTAAAACATAAATCTGTGACATCATAAATCATGTGACACATAAATCTGAGAAAAAAAAATCATACAAATAAAATGGAACTGATTGATTGGTTGCAAATTAACGGAAAGACAACCAGAGTTGTTTCAGCAAACACCTAAAGCAGCTAGATTTTTTATTTTAAAGAGATATATTTTTTAACAAATTTACATTAAAAATTACTTTTTCTTTGTTTGTTAAATTATACCCAAGGGTACTATTAAAAATCAACACTCCAGGTCCAATGTAATATTACTTTAAAAAAGTCCAGGGGTGTCAAAAAAAAAGTATCAGAGATGTGGTAATCAACAAAAGTCAAACAAAAATTTTTACTCATAAATAGATTTGTAAAAAGAGACCCGGGAAAGTAAAATCATAATAAGCAAATAGAAAAGAGCAAATAACTTCTTCCGATACTTTCTTAACAAGATACTTATCATAAATTGATTATTAGACTTTTTGATTCGGCAAAAATTAAATACTGTTTCAAATCTTAAAAGAAGTTTTAAACTAAAAAAATCGCTAGTTTTTTATGCAAAAAATTTAAAGCAATTGTAATAGTCATTTTTTCTAATAGTTCGAAATAAAAAATTAATTGGCCTATATGGAAATGCAAATTCAGTCAGTTCTTCTAGAAGACTGCCCTTAACTTTGACGGTGAGCAAGAAGATAGAGATTTAATATAATGCAATGAGTTTAAAATTATTTATACAATAGAATAATCGGAGCTCATAAATTTAATGTGAAAAAAAAAAGTTAATAATTAATAATAATTTTAAATATAACTAAACAGAAATATTTAAAAATTAATTAAATAAAAGTAGTTAAATAAATTATTTAGTTATTAAATTTTGATTATACCGAACAGTTTTTTTTATTTTAAGTATAAAAAATAGCTGTTTTTAAGGAGCCATTAAACTATTTAACATTATCTCTGACTAAAACCAGATAACTAAAGTGTTTTATTGACATATTTTACAAAAATATTGCAAAGTTTTTTGTAAAGTATTTTTTCAAGTAAGCGCTCATATAAATAACTCAAATTAAATAACTTAAACACATTATAATAATTAAAAAAGTATACTAATAATTTGTAATTAAATATTTATATAAACTGTTATCAGCCTACTTGTTATTATGAAGTATTTTTTACACTTTCATTCGAATCTTCTCCTATTATGGCGGGAGGATTGTCTTTACTTAAGATTTGCATTCTTGCAAGAGCTGTAAGAGCTAAACCTGCTCTTTGACGCTTTAAGGAAAGTCTTGAAGAAAATCTATTATTTTGTTCTATAGCGTTTCTTATGCGAATAGTTGCATCATCGACTTCTAAATCTTCTTGCTTTGGTTCTGAACAAAGCATGTTCAACATTCTGTATACTTGAACTATAATAACAAGTGCATTTTTTACTGTTAGCAAAATGATCATTTCTGTCACAACTTGGTAACGAACAATAAGAACAAAGCGAAAAATAAAAAATGGTCCATCTTGCATAAATATCGCCATCATTATTCCAATAAAGTCTATATATTTTACAAAACAATTTTGAATATCATCTTTACCGATTCCCAAACGATCGTCTTCTTGATCGGAATCTTTACGAACATTTTTAAGATTATATTCTGAGTTATTTTTTTGTTTAGATGATTTGAAAAGTTTCGGCCAGAAACGCAACTGAGCTTCAGACTCTCTGTTTTTAAGGTTAATATTGTTGTCATTTTTTATTGAGATTGAGTTCTTATTTTGAGATATTGGTACATAACTCATGGAAGAATGACTTCTATTAATGACTGGTGGTGAGCCCACGTTTTGAGGATTTCTTAATCCAGTCGGGAGTGTTACTGAAGATTTGCCTCTGGAGTTAAAATAATCAATCTCTTCTGATCTAATATTAGTGGATTCAAAATAAGATATAAACTTTTCATTACTGTTATTGTTTTTGTTTATTACACTATTTATTTGTCCACTATTCTGTAAATTGTTGTCATTATTATTTGCTGATGTTGTTGAAGCATTACTGCGTTTCGGATGAAGACCATTTAACTCCTTAACTAAATCTTTTTTCTCTAAAACTAATTTCTCAGAATCCGAAAATTCTTCACGCAACCTCGATTTGTAATGCATATACGAGATAGGTGTAACATGATTCGATTTAATTTTATTAAAATAACTCATTTTTTCTACCTGGAATGTTTCTTCTTTTTCTACATGTTTTAGACCATCTTCAGGAAGAGCTACAGTAAATGAAAACTGTAATATAGCTAATGCCCAAACTGCCATGACTCCGTGCAGTAAATTGTCGGCACCACCGACCTTTATCACATCTTGTATGACGTCGTTGTTGTAAATTTCATTGAACTCCACAATATCAGCAGCAGTTCCAATGTAAATTAACAAAATTTGAGAAAACTGTTCCTTTGAGATTGATCCTGTTAAATTTTTAGTTATTAATGATATTAGTTAGCATAAACATATACTAATATTCCAAAACTTGTTTACAACTCAAAACAAATATTACCTGAAGGAAGAAGCCACCTTCCAATAATTAAAACCAGCATCCCAGTCTGCTCAATAATTGTTACTCTTTTTGGAAAAAGCCATTTACTGAATGCCTATATATATATATATATATATATATATATATATATATATATATATATATATATATATATATATATATATATATATATATATATATATATATATATATATATATATATATATATATATATATATATATATATATATATATGTGTGTGTGTGTGTGTTTGTGTGTATGTTTAAAAAAAAATGCACCATAAAACTTTACAAAATAAAAAATAAACATTTGTAATAATGTCTTCACCTTTGTAATAATGTCTTCGCCGTAAAGTTCATAATTGCATTTATCATTAATAAGACATTGTATCTGTCTTTCGCGTAAAAATGAAATGGTAACAATTAACACTACACAGTAAAGAAATGCACTCGGGCAGAACCTACAATTATTAAAAAAAAAAAATACTTAAATAATTTTTTAAGTATTTGCAGAGAGTATTTGTATATTATCCGGTATCCTGCCGGATTTTAACTAACTTAGTTGGCTACGCCGGATATTTCATATTATAAAATAATGAGAAAAAAACTTTTTTTAACTATTGCTGCTGTCTTAAAGATATACAGTTTAGACCTGATCAAGATATTTGGTAATTAACAGAATAAGAGAGCACAAATTACAAAGTATTAATCTTTTGATGTAATTTAATGTAAATAACGATTCAAAAAATTTTGTTTAATTTATATAGTTTAAATAAATAAGAATAAACTTCTGCATAAAGCGTAGGGGAGGGGGAAGGGGGAAGGGAGGAGAACAAATTGCCCCTTCCCCGCGCTTTCTAAACAGGTGAACTGGCGTCCTCTAAATTATAAGTTTCTCATTACAAATTTTTGCTTTTATTTTAAACAGAAATAAAAAGCTAGATAACAAAAAATCATCATTTACATACCTGCTTTACAAGTTTGCACGCATTTATAACAGAAAATAAACTGGAGACGTTTGGTATAAAGAAAATAGCTCTTATAATCACAATGTACACAGTTCTAACATTGTTCAGCGTATTAAAACTTTTGCGACTGTACAGTGACAGATGTTTATAAAGCTAAAATGACTTTTCAAACGGTAAACAAATTTTCTTTGTAAAGGAGAAAAACAAAAAGTTATAAAATAACTGACTTCAAAGTTGTGGAGCAATTTAGATTTGTTTTTATGTGTTAAAAATGCTTTTGGCAAAAACCCATATGGCATCCCCCTTCCCACTTGAAATATACTCGCGCCGGCTCCACTTTCAAAGACGTGTATGGAACAATATTTCCAGCAATGATGACTGAAGTGCAAAAAAAAAAAAGAAGTATATATATTCTTATTTGAGAAATAGATGTCATTATGTTTTCCTAATATTTATATTCTACAAAATCTGCTTGGTTTTTTCTTTTACATTTGCTAAAGAAAAGTTTTAGTAAACGAAAAATCAAAAATTATCTGTGATCAAAGCAATACTTTTTTGAATTGATAATATTTTTCATTAAATGTAAGCTTGCTGACAGCATTGACTTTAAACTATCAATAAATTATTTTGCTTCCACCTAGTAGACTCAGACTTTTGTAAGACGTCTAAGCAACACCTTACAGACGTCGCAAGTCAGTACGATGTTTTTAAGACGTCCAACAAACGTTCTGTGCCCGCCGGGAATAATATCTTGCAGAAAAACCTTATAGAAACTAACAGGAAAGTAAACTTCTTTCTTTATCCATGGCCTCAGTAATAAATATAATGTAAATATAAGTTTTTAATAACCAAAACCTTGCAATATTACTAATGGTTTCTTTTTGTTTGTTTTTAACAATAATTGTTAACCAAAGAAAACTTTGCAAACTCAAACTTAAGATTGTTTAGTGTCTTAGATGTAATAATTAATGATAAAAGGCACATAAAAGCATCAATATAATATATTTATTACAAGTGCAATTATTGAAAAAAAAATGTTTCTAGGGGTTATTTTTCCACCCCCAACCGTTGTTGTAAACACCCCCTACTATTTCCCGTGCTCTTTCCCCTTCCCCCTCATGATGCTAAAGCAATTATGAAGTTATTTTTTTATGTATTTGCTTTGACTTTTTATCATTATTATTCTATCATTTATGATAAATACTTATATTTGAAATTAACTTTAAATGTGAATACTTATATTTGAAATTAACTGATGAATACTTATATTTGAAATTAACTTTAAATGTGAAATGAAAAAAGCAACTGTCTCACTTTGATAGACAATTGCCTTTTCATTTCATACATTTTCTTGACAACTAACTTGCTACCTTTTGTAAATAAAGTGGAGAAATTTCCAGAACATTTTAAGGCAATTACGTGGTTTCTTTTACTAATAATGTTTTAATTATTTTAATTGTATTTATGTATTAAGCGGTTTTTGTAATGTTGATTTTGTGGGTAGATATATTATATAAATGGATGTAAAACTTTTGTAAGATGAGTTGAATTCAAGTTAATAAATAAATTTTTGGAAAGAACCTATTTCAACCTATTGCACCTCCTAACATTGAGTGCAATCCTGTCCGCTTTCTTTATGCTATCTTTCTAACACAACTACTTTTGCTTTTCACTCTAACATATCTTCGTTCTTCCTAAACTCACTTTACTCTTGGTCCGTTGAGCGGGTTATGACGCTCCTTGGAGAGCCGAACCTGTTTTTGCGGGTCTTGATAATGTGGCCTCTATATGGCAATTAGCCGGAGGAGGATAAACCACAATATCAATTTTTGGAAAGAAAAGAAGTTTTGTTTCGAGCGAGAAAGTTACAAGCTAATCGGGCATGGATTCGAATATCAAATTATTAAATATGTTTGAAACGTTTGATGGAACATTGGACGCTGCCGTTTGGACACAGCGAACTAAAGTGATTGCAGAAATGCAAAATGTAAAGCTGAAGTCACTCTTTCCAATTCCTCTAAGTGGAACTGTCTATTTGGTATACGGTGGTTTAAACGCTGAAAATAAGCAAGACGAAGAAGAAGTTGAGCGTGTTTTGTTAGCAGCATTCTCTTTAGATGCTTATACGGCATACGAACTTTTTGCTAAATAAAAATTAAATTTTGGAAAGAAAGTTGATGTGTTTTTGGCCAACTTAAAACGATTGGCTTATCTTGCTAAATTGTCAGAAGAGTCTATTCAATTACCGTTTGTTGTTGGATTGCCCAAAGATTTATCATCAAAATTTCGAGCTGTTATGAATCCAATCGATGTTATGTTACCCAAAGTAAAAGCTGCTTTGAATCGTGTATGCGTAGATGATGCTGTTGGCGCTGTTTTTCGTAAATGAAGCCACAAAAGTTTCGTTAGTGTGTTACAACTGCAAAAAGTTACATCATATTGCGAGAAACTGTCTCTTTGCAAAGAATTTTTTTTTCAATTTTTTAAAATGTAGGAATGAAGGACACGTGGCTGCAAAATGCCTAATGAAGCAGGGAAACGAGTACGGGAGCGAGGAATGTGCGCTACCTTGTTCCTGAACAATGGTGGAATTAGCGCACTATCTATTATTCATCTAAAAGTTAATGGTTTGTTAGCAACAGCTATCGTAGACACGGGTTGTTCAAAGACAATTATACATCAAAAACTGCTGTCAAAAAACCAACATAAATCCCAGAATCCTCCAAAGGTAGTCACTTTTGGCGGTAAATTTCATCAATGCAATGAATTAGCGGCTGTCACTATTGAGGTTAATGGTATTCAAATACAAGACGAAGTTATTTTAGTGGATTTTCAACCGTTTGGAGTTGATATGATGCTGGGAATGAGTTCCATTAAATTGCTAGGAGGAGTTTTTATTTCCCCGTCTGAAATAGCAAAGTTTGGGTTTGGCTTGTGTGGAATGTCAGTCTCAAAGAAAGATAAAGTCAAAAATATTGAAAAAAAAAAAGCAAGATCATGAAGCAATATTTAATGGTGTCGAATGGGAAGTTAAATGGAAATGGGGAGATGGAGAAGGTCCCAACCAGTTAGTTAACAAAGTTGCCCAATAAATCATCCAAAATATGCAAGAGCAGAATATGAAAATAAACTACGGAATTGGATCAACCGTATACGGTTAATTGAATATGACAAAAATAAAATGGGACCACCCAAAGGTCAAATTCCCTTAATGGCTGTTATTCAACGAAATAAAGATAATAAAATCAGACCCGTTTTGGACTAAAGAGAAGCTAACAGTTTTATTGAAACGTATACAAAAGATGCAGATGTGTGTGTTGAGAAGCTGAGGAAATGGAGAAAAATGGGAAAGAAACCAGCAATTATTGATTTACGCAAGGCTTATCTCCAATTAAAACTGAAGAATCTCTTTAGCCATTCCGAACAGTGGTTTTTTAAAACAAAAAGTTTTGTTTGACACGGCTTGGTTTTGGATTAAACGTTGCTTCAATGATCATGAAATCTGTTGTGAGTGCCATTATTGATCAAGATGAATTGGTGAAGAGAGGAGCATCCGCTTACTTGGACGATAATTTTGTCGATGAGGAAGTAGTGAGTCTTGATTATGTCAAAAGACATTTTGAAAAATATGGTTTAGAGAGTAAAGAAGGCGAACAGATTGGATGTAATGAGGTTCGTATTTTGGGATTACGTGTGTACAAGGTTGGTGGCAAGTTAACCTGGTCTAGGAAAAATCAAGTCGACGCAATGCCAAAAAGTTATGTAGAAGAGTATTGTTTTCCGTTTGTGGGCAGTTAGAAGGTCTTTTACCAGTATGTGGTTAGTTACGTGCTGTTTGTAGTCTTTTGAAAAGAAGAGTGGTTAGTTTGACGAAGGGTTGGGACGATGAAGTTTGCGATGAAAATTTAAAGCGTGTACTTATAGAGGTTTATGATGAGGTTGCAAAGTGCGATCCAGCTTAAGGTGATTCTCTGTACATGGTGACAAGGGAAACGTGTGGGTTGATGCAGGTTCTTTGGCAAGTGGTGCAGTTATTCAAGTTGGTAAAACTACTGTAGAAATTGCAACATGGCTACGAAAAGAAATGTCTAAGGATCATATTATCATGACGGGGCTGGATGCTGTAATGCGAGGAACGAATATGGCTTGGACGCGGAAATTAAAGAATCTTTACAGATTCCGTGACAGTGTTCCACTGGGTCTCTGGCGCTCTCACTGGTAAGTCAAGATTGAAATCAAAAGCAACGGGCGAAATATTAATTCGAAGAAGATTAAGCGTTCTGCAACAATGTATTGAAGAATATGGTATTAATGTGAATGTAAAACTTGTTCCTTCAAAAGACAACTTAGCTGACGCATTGACTAGAGTTCGTAGTATATGGTTGAATAAATTGACGTAGGCTAAGCCTTCAAGTAACTTCGTTGGAGCAGTATTTGCAGTGGCTGAATTCATTTCTAGCATTCACAAGAGAACTGGACACTTTGGAGTGAAT